TTGGTTTGGATTAAAAAAAATAATTTAAAATTATGGTTTGGTTCGGTTTAAAAACCAAACTAAACCATTCTAAACTAAAAATCAAAATTTTAAAAATATTTTTGTTTCATAAAAAAAATACACACACATGTACATATATTTATATGAACATATATGTGCGTGTATACAAACACGCATACATACATACATACTTATATACACACACACATGTATAAATTTTATCTACTCATATAAATATAAATATATATACATGTACATATATTTATATTATATATAAATATATACATATATATATACACACACACATGTAAATATATATATATGTATGTATGTACGTATGTATACATATATAAATAGGTAAATATATGTATTTACGTATTTATTTATACACACACACAAACACATACATATTTCTATATTTTTATGAATATATATATATATATATGTTTATATATATACATATACACGAATATATATGTTATGTATACATATAAACAAATATATATACATATATATACATATGCATCCTGAAATTTTAAATTTAGTTTGGTTTGATTTATAATTAAATTAGATTGATTGGTTTCCAAAGTATCAAAACTAAAAAACCAAAAAATCAAACCCAATTATCAAAAAACCAAACCAATATTATGGTTTATATATACCCATATGTATGTGTACGTATACACGCATACATATATATTTTTATATTTATATGAGTATATACACACACACACACATGAATATATACATATATGTATGTATATACAAATATATACACACACACATATATATACATGCATATATATACATATTTGATAATAAATAATTTATTTTAAAGTATTAAAACCAAAAAATCAAAAAACCAAACCAAATTATCAAAAATCAAACCAAAATTGTGGTTTGCACACCACTAATTGTATGTAATAGTTTAAATAAATTAGAAAATAGATTATTTAAAAAATTTCAATTGATTTATAAGTTAATAAATATTTTTTTTTTTGGTAACATCAAATTGAAATTGAACTGAAACACGGATGAACCAGAATTGAACCAAACCGTGAATGAACCGGGAATCGAACCGTGAACTGAACTGGGAACCAAACCGTGAACCAAACTGTGAATAAACCAGGAAACAAATTGTTAATGAACTGGGAACGAACCGGAACCGAAACCGGAACCGTGAACGAACTGGCCTGGCCTTGTCACGCCCCGAACCCCGAGCTTGTGACTGGCACTAGGGTCTCTGACCTTAGTAAGTCTCAACACACTAGTCAAACTCCGAATATACAAAACATACACTAAGTGTAACAATACAACAACTAAACCACCCAAGATCCTGTCTAAGAGTATAAGGAAGTTACTCTAGAATATAACAGGGAAAAGATACAAAAGAGGTGCCCGTACATCCATCAAATCCTCTGACAGTTGCTCTGAAAACTGGCATGCTACTCAAGATGAGGACAGCAACCTAAATTTGGAAAGTTTAAAACTATGAGTCGTGAAACTCAATGAGTATAGATGATACCTAATCTATGCATGTTGGGATATGTATCATGCCACAAGTCCAAAACTATACATATACATACATATACAGTGAACAGTAAAATATCAAAACACATATGTGAAGTATCAGCATAACTAGTCATCATAACATACGTATGTGGGAGTACAATGATCACTAAGACTCCAGCCTCGATCGGAGGAATCCTCCGTTTCATGATCAAGCTCAACATAATCACAAATCACGCTGCCGGTCAGAGGAATCCTCCATCTCACAACCGTTGCATCACGCCCACCAAGGCCACACAATCATGCTCCTAGTCGAGAGGCATTCTCCATCTCATAATTGGAGCCACACACCCACCAAGGGCAACACGCTCCTTCGAGCAACACGGTCTTAGTGTATGACAATCACATCACAAGCCAAGGAACTCCTCGCATGGTACAACAACACACCATCCGTCGGTAGAGGCCTTAGCCACACAACTCATCTCATCGCCGGGCCGAGGCACTCCCCGCATGTTATGACCCACCATCTGTCAGCTGAGCTTGCCATCCCATATCCAATCGTTATATCACATCACTGGACAAATGTACTCCCCACGCGCTATGGCAGAACACCGTCCACCGAATAAGCCCCTAGCCACACAACTCATCTCATCGCCGGGCCAAGGTACTCCCTACACACTACGGCCACTGTCCATTGGCTGAGCCTATCATTCTAGACACATCACATCACGAGACCACTATCTCGTCTTCTCATGATTAGAGGAATCCACCATCTCGACGATTGAGGAATCAAAATAATGCATATCACATCAGCAGACCCTGCTGCCTCACATCACACAATACTATCCTTACATATAAGTCAAAATTAATATACATACGCATATATAGTTCACATCTCAAAATCAGTATCACATACTAACATAACTCACTGATAGTTCACAAAACACGTAACACATATCCCGAGTATAACATATAATCAAAATATAGTTTCCAAACCACATAATCATCATGTCAGAAAATTACAGTATGAAAACACAAGTATAGAGAGGGTATCATCACTCATAGTACAAGGGCTGAACAAAGAGGAACTCCCGATCACGCTCACCCGACTCACTGATCTGGACGTGCCTCCACTGGCTTATTTGTAACCAAAACCACACAAAACCGTCACCATCACCAAGACCAGCACAAGAAACTAGCTCGATAGTCCAAAATCGGCTCAACTCCATCTTGACACCATGGCATGCATCCCAAGGCACTACTGCCTGTCATCGAGACCCATGTGACTCACAACTCTCAACACTTCGACTCAACAACCCTCAACAATAAAGAAACCAATCTCCAAAATCCTCAAACCATAGTGAACCAGCCTCCAAAACCCCTGAACTGGCCTAAACCAGTTTAAAACTACTTCAAGCTCAACTAGATCAGCCACAAAACCCCTAAAATCGGATTCAGAAAGCCCAAAAACCCTAGGAATTGGTTTGAACCAACCAGAAAACCCTTGAACTGGCCCTGAATCGGACCAAAAATCCCAATCTTAAGCACTGGCACACAAACGAGCCCACCCTGAACTGGCCACCCAAAAATCACCAAACTTCATGGTTACCTAGGTCTCATCATGCTAAACCGAGAACTGACTCAATCTCCCCAACAACCGGCCTAAAAGCTAGTGAACTGGTCACCCGAAGGGCACCACACTAAACTGACCAGTTCACCTTGAACTAGCCACCCAAAATTTTCTGAATCCACTTGGTCTGATAGCCCTTGCCCCCTTGAACCAGGAACCGGTCAAACTTCCAAATTCCAAAACAATTTGACCACTGAACTGATCGGTCAAACCCACTGGCCGGTTCAGTCAAACCCTATCTTTTTTTTTCCCACAAGCCGACTCAGCTTGCGGCTCGGCCCCGCTTGGGCTCGGCTTGCTTAACCCAAGGCTCGGCCCGACCTAGCTGGCCGCCCAACCCAAACCTTGCTTGGGCTAGCCTCGACCTAAGCCCACTCGACCTAACTCTAGCCGAAAACCAACTTACCCAGGCCCAAACCTCACCCAACCCGCCCTGAGTCGACCCGGTAAGCCGATTCGACCTGCCTGGGTCAACCCAGCACAGACCCGGATGCATCCAGGTCCATCTTCCTTGCCCGCTTCTGACCCGAAGCCCCCACCTGGTTCATAGATTCGGGTCTACAACACAACTCGAATCAAAATCTTAAAAAATAAAGCTGTTAAACCACATACCCAGATCAAACGACACTTAAAACCCTTCCATCTGAGACAGGTGAACTTCCCAAAGCCTTCAATAGGAACAAATAAGTTGCTCAAAAGCCCAAAAGCCAGAAAAAGCTGTTCGGCCCTCCGTGCCCTCCGCCAGCCAAAAAGCTCAAAATTTCCCTCACTTTTCCACTCGAGACTCGCAATTGCTTGAGGGCTTTTGCTTATCGGTCTAAAACAAGGTTAAATCCACAACCCAATCGAACCAACAACTCCCCATGATTGTGGTATGGGAGCTGCAGTGGTTCAGTATAGTTTGGCAGAAATTTTCTGTGCAATTCCAAATAAGCCATTCCAACTTTGGTTTCTCACAAGCAACTCCCTGGAAATTTCATTTTGACCCCACCGACTCTTAATTTGTGCACCTAAGTCCCCTAAGCCCCAATTTACTTAATTAATTCACTAATACCCTCTAATTAGGGTCATTACAGGCTCGAAAACCGTGAACCAGCCCAGAACTGACATGAATTGTAATCGGAATCGGACCGACCTTCAAAGTTCTGATCCCGGTTCATATTTTTCTGGGACCGAACCGGTGGTCTGGTTTCAGTCCGGGCCGGTTCAAGGCCCGTGAATAGGGCTAATTAGCATAAGCCTTGGACCTAATAATTAATTTAATTAAGTAATTTGTAAACCAAATCCGACTGGTCCAATTGACCTTTGAGCTTGATCAATCTGAAGTAACTTCAAACTAGGAAACTCGAACTTTGGTAAGTAACGTGTGGTTGCTCGTTAGATTTTTTTTTTTTTTTAAAGTTTTATTTATTTATTTTTATTAGAGATGAGTCCTGAAATTAATAGGTATTATTGATCCTGCTTGTGCAGCCATTACTTCTCTTGCTAAGGGTAGACATGAATTTTAGTTTTTGAGAACACCTTTTGTATTTAAATATAAGAGTAAAAAAAAAATGATAAAAAATAAATAGCAATATTAATTCAACAAACAAAAGTTCAGAATCATTCCCTCCACGAACCAATATCTAGCAGGAAATGGATATGTAAAATCTTCATAAACAAAGCTTCTTATGTTATTCTTTAGGAAAAAACTTACGCGCACATTGGAATGACAATTTCTACTCCACAGCTTGACCAAAAGCAGAACAACATGCTGTGGTGGTGGCATTTCTCTACTGTATAAATGAGAAAAACAGTGAAAACTAAGGTAAATGTATTTTGATATCATTAATTTACACTAAAATTTTCCATTTCCATGTATTTAAGATCCCAAAAGGCTGTCCTTAATGAACTCCAACTCCGCTTTAACATCATTGATTGCCATTCTTTCTTCAGGCAAGTTGGACGAACAATTTACTCCAACTTCGAGTATCAATTTCAAGCACTCTATAATCTTTTGACTGCTGAATTCTCTTCTAAAAGAAGTGATGGATCTGCAATGTCCAATACACTGTCAGGCAAAGCTTCCTTGACAAAGCCATTAAGTGTTACACCATGCATTTCATCAGTAGGTGGCTTCCAGTGAATGTTTCTAACAGTAGCATGCCAAAGTTGTAGACATCTCCATATGTTGACACCTCATTTCCCAGACCATATTCTACATCCACAATGCAATTAGGGGGAAAAGAAAGTATGAGAAAGGGTAAGGAAAAGATTAAAATTAAGAATCAGTAAAATAATATTTACCCGGGGCAATATATCCAATTGATCCTCTTACTCCCATAGAGCTTGTTTTGTTGACTGACAATTCAGGGGTGGCGTCTCTAAGGAGTTTTGCTAACCCAAAATCTCCAACACGCCCCGTCATTTCTTCATCCAAAAGAACGTTGCTCAGCTTAAGGTCGCAATGCACTATTGGAGTTCGGCACTGGTTATGAAGATAATTCAGCGCACAAGCAACATCAATGATGATATTCAATCTTTGAAGAAGATTCAAACTGTGAGACTCTACACTTGAAATATTTTCTTTGGGTTTCGCGTGTAACCATTCCTCAAGACTTCCATTGCTCATAAATTCATAAACCAAGGCCTTAAAATCATTATCTTGATAATCTACACCTGAACACACTGTAAGCACCTTAACAAGATTCCGATGTCTGATGTTTCTTAGAGCCTCACACTCAGTTATGAAGCTCCTGGAAGCTCCTTGATGCGAAAGGTTAAAGACCTTCACAGCAATAGTTTTTCCATCAAGAACCCCTTTGTACACAAACCCAAAACCACCTGCACCAATTAAATTGGAAGGCGAGAAACTTTTGGTGGCTTTAAAGAGACTTTGATAAGATACCTGCAAGAATGAATTCTCCAATATATTTGAAGAAGTCTCTTTTCTTGTCTTTCTGAATAAGAAATGATACATCACATAAGCCCCCAAACATAGTCCTAGCAGCCCAAAAGATAAAGACAACACTAATTTTAAGGTACTGTATGATCTCTTTTTGCCATGCGCTTTGAAGCTACAATGAGGCAACTGCAGTCCATGTACACCTCCACAAAGCTTAAGGTTTCCCTCCACTAATATTGCACTAGCATTAGCAAATATCCCCTTCGTTGGTACAGGGCCTTCAAAATTATTAAATGACAAATTCAAACTTTCCAACAGGGCAAAGTTCTCTAGGAACTCTGGGACTCCACCAGACAGTTCATTGTTTGCATGGTCCAACTCTTGGATTCCTTTTAGGGAACTTAAAGAAGAAGGAATATGGCCCCAAAATGAGTTGCTTGCCACGCGTAGTGTTTCCAAACTTACGCAACTACCAAGAGTGATGGGAATTTCACCTGACAAATGGTTACCGGAGACATCCAAGTACCCAAGATTAATCATATTTCCAACTTCCAAAGGAAGGGAACCATTTAGTTGGTTTTGGGATAGGTCCACCTCATTTGATATTAATGAAAGGCCTAGAACTTGTTTTGGAATGTCACCACTCAGGTTGTTTTGAGCAAGAAATAGAAGTTGCAGATTCTTGCATTCTCCCAAGCTTGGAGGAATGCTTCCCTCAAGATTATTAATTCCTAAAACTAGTTGATTTAACAAACTCAAATTTCCAATGGAGTAAGGTATGTTACCGGAGAGTTTATTGTTCAAGAGGTTTAAGTCTTGTAGCTTTTGAAGCTTTCCAATCTCAGTGGGAATACTTCCTATGAGTTGATTACGCTGCATATCTAAACTCTCTAAGTTAACAAGTTGCTATCCCAGATGGAATGCTGCCAAGTATTTTATTGTTGTCTAGATAAAAGACTTCTAGCATAGATGAGAGATTACTGATGGAATCTGGCAATACTCCTCCAAAATTGTTCATATTCACACGCAAAGTCTGTAAATTGTTGGCATTGTTCAAAGAAGAAAGAAAATCTAAATCACCAATTTTCCTGATCCAAGCTGATTGGCTGAAATGCTTAACCATTCTAGGTTATGCAGCCTTTGCAGATTGGAAACCTCCCCGGTGAGATAGTTTTGAACCAATATGAGGTAACGAAGATTGGTTGCATTTGAGATTGAATCTGGAATAGACCCTGTGAATTTGTTATCGCCAACATTGAAGAATTCGATCTTGGGGAGCATGATGCCCAAGTCCTAAGGAAAACTTCCATGGATTTTATTAGAAGTCACATCAAACATAGTGAGAGAAGAGAGATTGAAAAGGGATGGAGGGATGGTGCCAGCTAACCTATTTATACCGAGTCCAAGGTATTGGAGGTGGGTCAACTGGCCAAAAGCCTCAGGAATACTCCCATCAAAGTTGTTTTCCGCTGCAGAAAGTGCTTGAATGGATGACAAATTACCAAAAGGAGATATACTTCCCTCATGATTGTTGTCATGAATGATTACTTTCTTGAGCTTTGCCAAGTAGCCCAGCTCCATTGGAACCTCCCCAGACAATTTGTTGTAAGAAATATCGATGATGTTAAGGCTTGAGCAACGAGATATATTGGGCGGAATAAGGCCATCAATTGAGTTATTATTTACCATCAGAATATGGAGTCTTCTTAATCGGCCAATCTCTGCAGGGATTTGATAGTTGAAGCTGTTGTTCTGAAGCATTAACTCCCTCAGAAAGTTTAAATTACCAAGGTGTGGTGATATGGATCCCACTAGCTTTTTTGACTGTAAATCCAGAGCAATTACCCTCTGATGCTGGCGGCCACATTTGATGCCTGGCCACTGGCAGAAGTGGTAAGATTCATTCCAAGAGCTCAAAGCACGTAAGGGATCTTCAAGCACATTGGCTTTGAATGCAAGCAATGATAAGAGGTCTGTCTCATTCCCCTTGAGCACGGAGGAGGCTACCGTTTCTGCAAAGATGCAGCTCAGCGTGCAAAAGCAACACACAAGTATCAGATGAATTTTTGAATTTAGGCTTGGAAGTTCCATGGAGATGAAGGAAAGTAGATTTTTGAATTGTTGATAAAGAAGAGGTTCTTGATGGAAGACTGGTCAGTTCCTGAGCTTTAGATGTTTCTAATGAAGGATATGATCATAATGCTACATAGTTTTTGAGATTTTAAGATGCAAGGCCAAGGTCAAAAAACAAAATGGCTCACCTAACCTTACCATTTGGACATTAATCCACATCCGTTTGTTATTTACCTAACTCATCGATGAGACAAAGGCGAAGTCTTTGACTTGCTTTCTTTTGTTACGAATGTGTTCAGCAATAAAACAGAGAAGATTAATCTTAGTAATTAATTATGCCTGGAGTTTTCTGCCTATATATTCTATTCATTAGTTGGTCAAAATCTTCAACTATAAAATAATAATTGAGGAAGTGGAGTGGCCAAGTTTACATTATATAATTTCAAGATTGAGATGTGTAGAAATTATTAATAAGCAAAGCAAAGTTGTGAAGCTGGAAAAGATGATGTGAAGAGTATTTGATTAACTTTAAACTCCTTTTTATCATTATGGGTGCCTTTAGATCAGCGAAAAGTTGTTCACAACTTGTAATTTTATATAAATCATTACGAGTTACTATGGAAGAAGAAAAATCTAGAAATTTAATAGGGCTTAATTCCTAATGCTTCCAGATAATTCTTCAATCCCATTTACATGATAAACTTTCAAGATTCGAAAGTGTTATAATAATTAATTGGTAGAGAAAGGTCAAGAAGATGAGAGAGAATCTGAGAGGCATTTGAGTGAGATTCAGCTCCTATTGGTGTAAATTACTTGAGCTCTCCTTGACAAGAAGTACAAGGGTGTGACGATGTTAAGGCAATAATTTTTCCTTGGTTTGTGTAGTGTTTTAATCATCTTGGTTATGGCATGAAATGACTGCTTCTGTATAAAATATCAACAAGAATGGAAATTTGTGTTCAATGATCTTAAGCAATTCTCCCTCAATTTAGCTTTTTTACTGTCTTTTGGGTCAGTGAGATTTCCAGGCCCTAGTCCCAGCATTTGCATCATACTGGTCTGTGTTTCATGGAAGCTGGATTTTTTTACAACTGTGAAATTGGGCTTGCGATTTAGCCCTTAAGTTTTCTTCTTGTTTCCATACTGGTCCTCGAACTCTTCCTGCTTGTTATAACGGCCCCAAGTGTAAGATTTATTTTCAATCAAGACAAAAGAGAAAGAAAAGCAAATCCCTTGGTGCTACAGAATAAATATTGAAAGAGAAAGAAAAAGCAAAAGAAAAATTTGCTCCCTATGAATTATATTTTCTCTTAATTCACTGGAAAAATTATTAAATTGTCATTATTGTTTATTATTATTTTTAGCTATCAGATATATTATTGTTACAAGTTATTCATATGTGAAATTATGATAAATAATAGGTGAACATAGAACAAGAAACTCTCAACATTCTTAAAAAAGTTGATTACCATAATTAACAAATAATGAACCCAAAGTTTTGGTCAAGTAGTAAAGCACTTTCAAATTTAAAAGTCAAGAGTTTAATTTCTAATACACCATCTATTTCTCTCCTAAATCAGACCTTCAATATATAAAAATAATAAAACAAACAAGTGATATACTTTTTCTAGATGAAATAAAATAAAAATTCGGTAAATAAGGAGTAAATGAATCATTGTACAAAATATTATACAATGACAGGGATCATCAGACTTCTTAAATTTTACGGTGAGCAGAAGTAGTTGCAGCAAAGAATAGAGAGAGAGAGAGAGAGAGAGATTCAGATTGAGAATGATAGGTCATGTGAATATAAAATTATAATTTATTAGTTCACAATATTAACAATTAAACCGCAGCAATGGTATAAATTAAATTGTCATAACAGTAAGGAAATTGCCATGCTTTGGAACGACGCGCGTGGGTGGAAAGACTTGCTCGCGATATGGTTGTTTTTTAGAATTTCAAAAGTTACTTGTAAAATGCTTTCGGCGAGAAAGTTTGACTTTTCACATCCCCATAGATGATTACCCCACGAAAGTATCCTGGTCGACTGCATCCAACCCCTGCATAGTCGCCAAATTGATCAACTCTTTTAATCAGTTTCATTTGCATTAGCATGCGTTCCTATTTGTCACCTTGAAGTGCTCTTAGACTAGAGTAGATCAAGACAAGGCCCAGAACCATTTCTCATACCACCTGTTGCGACAACTTTTTCTATCATCTCTTGGTTTTCCTAAGAAAACGCACAAAGCAGTCTAATTCAACTGCTCATGAATTCCCACCAAGCCATCGCTCTTATCCTTTACTTTTTCTATTATCAACAATAATTTAAATGCAATTCAAGAATCCATCTATTCCAGCAAGTGGATTGACTTGGGCGACAATCACGCCTTGCAATAATACCTCTAGTCATGACAAAGACCATGCATTTGAAAGGGCAACACTTCTCAATGAACTCAAGATAAACAAAAGAGGCAAATAAGTATCTTCTTGTTTTCTACCAACTTTCGGCCTATTGTAGGTAGATACAATAGTTAGCTTAATTAATTACTTTCTTCTATTTAATTATGTCTATTGAACTGCAATATTGTGTATAATTGACGGAAGAGGATACTAGAGACCTTTGCATCGGTTCCCAATGCCTCAAAATTTTTAGTTATCCTTGGAGTTATACAGGAGTACAATATTTTCCTTTCTAGTCTACACAGGGTACTCTATCTGGGATTGAGCACTAGTGGTGTGCAAGATGATCTAAAAAATGGCATTTTTCTTCTTCAGACCTGGGAAATATTGTCGACAGGATTAGCTATAGAAAGCTGAAAGAAAGTCCTCATTGGCTTTCATGTATAAGCGGATAGACAAGGCAACCGTCTCCCATGAATGTGTGCATCAGAATTTTGTAAGGAAGCTATCTAGTTGAGGTCAGATTGAAGAAGATCCTTAAACTGTTAGCAATTATAATTGAAGTCATAGATTGGAGATGCAAAGAGGCCGAAGCTGATACGAAATCAAATCTGGGTATTGCTTCAAAACAGAAATGGAGTAGAATAGAAAATGGTGTACAATCAGTTTTTACTTGATAAAATGACTCACCATAAGCAAAATCTGAAGGTTTGAATCGTCGCACTCAAGGATGAATGATAAGATTCAGGGTTTTCACCACTAAACAAAAAGCTTGTTTAAATGAGAAAGAAAGAAGTAAAGTGTAAATTACAACTTTTATTCATTAACCAAATTTGAGTACATTCAGTTCTCAAGAGGGATATATATAGAAAAAAACTACAACCTAGACATGGATAAAAGACAATTAAGTATGACAAAGCATTTATTACAATTTTGAAAATAATAAGGAGTAGTTGATAAAACATTAATTGTTAACTTGTGGACAAGAGTTTTAGTTATTGCAATTAATGCAGAGTATTAATTGTTGCACTAAATTGTCAACAAGAGCATGCAATGCATTAATTGTTGCATCACCTAGTCAACAAGGACATTAATTGCTATAATTATGCATAGCATTAATATACTACCAACTTGTCAACAAAAGCACGCAATTCATTAATGGTTGCATCAACTAGTCATCAAGGGCATTAACTACACTACCAACTTGTCAACAAGAGCACACAATTTATTAATTGTTGCATCAACTAGTCAACAAGAGCATTAATTTGTTGTAATTAATGCTTACACCTCATTTATAGTATTTAAACTAGGTGGCTCATACCCCATTAATTCAATGTAAACCAGTAAGGTTTGAAATTCTTGGAGTTGTTTTGCTCTTGAACGAGTGGTTGATCCAATAATAACATGGATGGATTATCTTGTTCTCCATGATTCACATCATTTTCCCCGGGTTGCAAAGGATTTGTCCTGAAATCCAAGCCTTCATGGCCTTCTAAGTATGGTGATAGATCTCACACATTAAAAGTAGCTAAAACATTAAAATCACCTGGCAATTCAATCTTATAAGCATTGTCATTTACTTTTTCAAGCACTTTAAACGGTCCATCAGCACAAGGTATTAATTTGTTCTTTCTTTTGCTTGGAAATCTTTCCTTTCGAAGATAAACCCATACAAGATTTTCCTGTTCAAAATTCACCTTCTTCCTTCCTTTGTTTGCTGTTTTCTCATAAGCTGCATTCTTCTTTTCAATTATTTACTTAACTTGTTCATGCAACATTTTGACCTGGTCAGCTCTTTTCTTCCCATCCAAGCACACTCTATTTTTAGTTGGAAGTAGAATAAGATCAAGCGGAGTGATAGGATTTAAACCATAAACCACTTCAAAAGGAGAGCGTTTTAGTTGAGCTATAAATACTTCGATTATAAGTAAACTTAGGTAGAGAAAGACAATCATCCCAATTCTTCAAATTTTTGTTGATTACAACTTGAAGTAAAGAGAAAAGAGTTCTATTTACCACTTTAGTCTGTCTATTAGTTTGGGGTGACAAGCTATGCGAAGAGTAGCTTTATTCCCAACTTTTTTCACAAAGTTTTTCAGAAGTAACTCAAAAACTTGGAGTCCCGATCTGAAACAATGCTCTTTGGAATTCCATGCATTCTAACAACTTCTTTGAAGAATAAATCAGCCACAAGTGAAGCATCATCAGATTTATGACAAGGGATAAAGTGAGCCATTTTTGAAAACTTGTCTACAACCACTAGGATAGAATGTTTGCCTCTTTGAATTCTTGGTAGTCCAAGCACAAAATCCATGCTAACATAAACCCAAGCTGGTTGGGAACTGGTAATGGCATATATAAACTATAGGGAGCTTCCTTGCTTTTCGCCCTCTTGCAAGTAGCACACTGTTCAATAACTTTATGCACATCATGGTTCATCTTCGGCTAGTAGAAGTGCTCTTTCACCATTTTTATAGTTTTTGCCTCCCAAAAGGACCAGCTAATCCTCTCCGTAAGCTTCTCTTACCAACAGCTCTCTAATCGAGCCTATTAGAATGCATAACATGTTTGCTTTAAACAAATGTCCTTCATGCTGAATAAAATCATTAACAGCT